GACGTCACGGGGGAGGGGGGGAGGAGGACGTCACAGTGGGTGACGTCACAGGATAAGAGGATTGACGTCACGGGGGAGGATGACAACGTCACAGACGAGGGGAGGATGATGACGTCACAATGCGTGGAAAATTCCATTGCGGGGCCTCCGGACGCAGTCTCTCCGGCCGCCTCCGGACGCGGTCTTTCCGGCCGCCTCTGGACGCGGTCTCTTCGGCCGCCTCCGGGTGCGGTCCCTCCGGCCGCCTCCGGGCGTGGTTCGCCGCCGCCGCCGCCGAGCGCGGTCCCCGCTATACTTTCTCTTTTTCTCACTTTTATGCGGTATCTTCTTCTTCTTATGCAACAGTATTTTTTTTCTCGCTCGCAAAGATTTTAAGAGCGCGATAACGCTGTCATAGCGCGATGTAATACGATACGGCGAAAGTAAGGTGACTGAGCGTAGGAAGGATGGAATGCATAATGATAAATATTGAGATATGCAGAATATTAATAAACATTTATTACTCACGTAACGCACGATATACAATACTATCTGAAGCATATAAAATCAATTCACATTCAATATGTGAGTTCTTATCATAAATCTTACGCAAGATATTTATAGCATCGCATTTGTTCATAATATAATTTTGACGTAAATGTGTAATGAAATATTAAAATTTATCGCTAACACTATTTGTACATTGACACAAATCGAAATATACATGCTCAACACATTGTTCCAGTTCCAACATGAAGAGCATGGTCGATAGTTTCATATATAAACACTTATTACACAAAGATAATTTCACAGTGTCCACATCGCGTATTTTAACAAGTTCAATCACAAAGTCTTGAATCAGTAATGACGACGTAGTAGTCGACTGCATCAATCGCTCAAAATCAACCTTTTTTTTCGACGAACGCCGTCCACGTAGCATGAGGCAGGACGAAGCGATTGCCTCGAGTGTCACCGATCGCAATTTTCACGTGAGACATTGGTCCCACGACGATTCCGATCTCCAGAAACTTGTACGCTGTCGATGTCAGCGCGAACACCCTCTTCAACATGCTACGTGCACTGCAAGGAACAACAAACGAATAAGTAGTCGGTAGAAAAATTTTGCAGATATAAGTGATATACTTACTTGCACGGTTCATGCTGAACACGAGAATCCATACTGACGATCACTACAATACGATTTTTTCGAGCGACTGATGCAGTAACATCATTTCACCTCCTTTTTAATCTTAATCTCCCTCCCTCCATCCAACGCTATTGTATGGAGCTGTAAACCTTCGTTTACCCATCCCAGCATTAAGAATTTATGCAAAAGACCCGCCTGATGAGACCATTATTGTAATTTGATACCACAAAAATGCAACGTTTGCAAAAAAGATGCTCAATATGATACAATTGTACAACAATCATGTTAGATTTAGCATAACATAAGATACTTCCTAAAAACATTTGAATTGTTTCACGATGACATATCATCATCATAAATAGCACAAATAATGGTATAAAAATGTAAGGATTTAGGCGCATCGCGTCATTAGTCAATCTAATAGCAAAAGTGACAACATGGAGCGAGATTTGATTGAGCAAGCTACCCTGCTAAATACAAGAGAAGAGTACGTTGCGTGGGAACAGCGATGCGACGAATTTATAGAATCTCTGAAAGAGCAGAACAGTATTAAACGCCCGCGATTATCGACCGGTAATAGACAATCGGTGATCGCATGTATCGCGCGTCTTGAAAGCTTGAAGGATTCGGTGCGCGGACTATCCGGTTAAGTGGTATTGTAGCATATATGCACAAAAAGAATCCGTGCCAAAAGTGGTATTGTAGCATATATGCACATCTTGAATAACTTCTATATTATTCAACGAATTTGCTTGAAATTTGGTATACTATTGTTTTTTGGGCTTCTGAACTCGATTTTGGCGTCAAATTTGTAAAATTTGATGGCGAACACAACATGGCGACTAATACGTTGAATGAAAATGGCGATTTTTGTATATATGTTGCAATTACGTTTTACCCCCGCAGTTTATATACGAAATGAAATCAGCGACCCAAAAAACCCCCAGGGCCAAATTTTGGTATATTTTAGTTCACAATTGACGCCTACCACTTTTGGCACGGAATGTTTTAAAAAGCCTACCACTTAACCGGCTATTTGTGCACGTAGGCGCAGGATATGGACTTCGATGGCGCGAAATCGAAACGGCGTTCGAAAGCCGGATTCTAACAGGCGCGGTAATAAACTCTAATTATATCGAACCTCGCCGATTCCTCGAAGACACGAGTGAAATTGTGCTCGAGCGTGTGCAGTGTGTTTTACAGAGATATGACTCTTTAAAAATAAATATAGTATTTAACGGTGAATTCGTAGCCAGTGACAAACGCGCGAACAAGAGTATCACCATCCGGAACTATGAACTATATCGATACACAGATTTGCGCGAGTGGTACATGTCGCGCGTCGTCGAGCCAATTTTAGCATCGCTCGAAGAATTTCAAGAACGTGACAGCGGGTGGGCACTGTTACGTATCCTCAATTTAACGGTAAACGCGAATAAATTGAATCCTCTGCGCGCGGGATGTTATATCAAACTCCCGCGAGAAATTATGCTGAAGAGAGCGGTGATCAACGTGCGATTCACAGACAATGCGTGTTTCGCGTGGTCAGTGGTTGCAGCCCTGCATCCAGCCCAAAAACATGTGGACAGGGAACCATCGTATCCGCACTACTCATCGGTACTGAATCGCCAAGATATTCAGTTTCCGATGACGTTATATCAAATAAAAAAATTTGAAACTCTAAACGACATTTCCATCAATGTCTATGCCATCGAGAAGAGAATTGTGCCGATACGACTTGCCGACCGAAAGAGGAGCAAGCACGTAAATTTCTTGTACGTGGAGGACGACAGTACGGAACATTTCGCGCTGATCAAAGATCTGTCCCGCCTTGTCAGTTCGCAAATCAATAAACCTTGATCAAACCTTGATCAAAAGTTCCCGGAATTCATTCAGAAAATTCAAAATACAAGTTTGAAACAACCTAACCTAACTCCTGTTGCGCGGACATAGCTCATCGGTTAATTCGGTCGGGAACGTGAGAGAATCGTATCGGAGAAGAAGGCACTTACAATAACTATACAGGCTGGCAATTAACGAAACACTGAACCTTTATTAACTCGAAACAATTTACACGCAATAACTATATACCTATATAGGGCAGCGGTAGCGCAGGTCGGGCTGCGCGATCCGCGAAAGGAAATATATATACAATATATATACAATGAAACGGCAACGCAAGCCTGAACGTAAGATTCGCGAGAGAAAATATATACATATACAAGGAGACGGTAAGGTGAGGCGGAATGCGATGCTCGGGCGCACCGTGTGAGTCGTGGGCCCGTGCGGTGGCGCGCCCTAGAAATTCGGCGAGCGGGTGCGATA